GAGGCGGCGGCAGCGGCGGGTTCCCGCACTTCTGAGGCTTTGCTCTGGCAAAGCCTCAGAAGCGTGGGAACCCGCCCAGTGCCCCTGGTCTGCTGGAGACGGTCTCCAGCAGACCAGGGGCACCGGAGCAGCTTACGAACGGGGCTTTCTCGCCCCGACTTCCGGGGCGAGAAAGCTCCGTTCGTAAGTGCGGATCCGACGTAAGTCGGATCCGCGTAAGTCAGGGTCTGCCTGTAAGTTGAATAGTATGGGTCCCAAGACAGACCCTTGCACCCTTGCAGGACCCCACTAGTTACCTCTCTCCACTCCGAAAACTTACCGTTTATTCCTACTCTTTGTTTCCTGTCTTTTAACCAGTTATCAATTCACAAAAAGACCTTCCCTCTTATCTGATGACAATTTACTTTACTTAAGAACCTTTAGGGAGGGACCTTGTCTAAGGCTTTCCGGAAATCTAAGTCTACTATATTTACTGGATCCCCCTTATCTACCTATTTGTTGACCACCTCAAAGAACTCTAGCAGATTAGTAAGGCGTGATTTCCCTTTACAGAAACCTTATTGACTTCACCCAATAAATTGTATTCATCCATGTGTCTGACAATTTTATTCTTTAGTATAGTTTCAGCTAATTTGCCCGGTACTGACATTAGACTTACCAGTCTGTAATTGCCAGGACCACCTATAGAGCCCTTTTTAAATATTGGCGTCAATATCTTCCAATCATTTGGTACAGAAGCTGATTTAAAGCATAGGTTACAAACCACAGTTAATAGTTCCGCAATTTCCCATTTGAGTTCTTTCAGAACTCTTGAGTGAATGTCATCTGGTCCTGGTGACTTGTTACTGTTAAGTTTATCAATTTGTTCCAAAACCTCCTCTAATGAGACCTCGATCTGGGACAATTCCTCAGATTTGTCACCTAAAAAGAATGGCTCAGGTTTGGGAATCTCCCCAATACCCTCAGCCATGAAGACTGAAGCAAAGAATTCATTCAGCTTCTCCGCTATGACTTTATCATCTTTGAGTGCTCCTTTCGCATCTTTCTCATCCATGGGCCCCACTGGTTGTTTAGCCAGATTCCTGCTTCTGATATACTTAAAAAACATTTTACTGTTACTTTTTGAGTTTTTGGCTAGCTGTTCTTCAAACTTCTTTTGGGGTTTTCTTATTATATTTTTACACTTAATTTGACAAAGTTTATGGTCCTTTCTATTTTCCTCACTAGGATTTGACTTCCACTTTTTATCTATCACTGCTTCTTTTACTTGGTTGTTAAGCCATGGTGGCACTTTTTTGTCTCTCTCTCTGTGTTTTTTAATTTGGGGTATACATTTAAGTTGGGCCTCTATTAGGGTGACTGAAAAGTTTCCATACAGCTTGCAGAGATTTTCCTTTTGTCACTGTACCTTTTAATTTCTGTTAACTAACTTCTTCATTTCTGTGTAGTTCCCCTTTCTGAAATTAAATGCCACGGTGTTGGGATGTTGAGGTATTTTTCCCACCACAGGGATGTTAAATTTTATTACATTATGGTCACTATTTCCAAGCAGTCCAGGTATATTTACCTCTTGAACCAGATCCTGCGCTCCACTTAGGACTAAATTAAGAATAGCCTCTTCCTATGTGGGTTCCAGAACCAGATGCTCCAAGAAGCAGTCATTTAAGGTATCAAGAAATTTTATTTCTGCATCCCGTCCTAAGGTGACATGTACCCAGTCCATATGGGAATAGTTGAAATCCCCCACTGTTATCGAGTTTTTTATTTTGATAGCCTCTCTCATCTCCCTTAGCATTTCATAATTACTATCAGTGTCCTGATCTGGTGGTCGATAATATATCCCTACTGCTATGTAAATGTAAAATATTGTAAAAATAATGTAAAATATTGAAGTGTGACAGATGATTTAAATGGCACTTCTGCTTAAACACTTTCTAATTAATATTACAGTGATGATGATGATTATTAACTCAGAACTCCTATCTTCTGTATTAGTATGTATCTAACTGTTGACCATATCCTCATAGGGTATAAATCTTAGCTCTAGTGAAATCAGTGGGAGCTTACATTTAACTTAAAAGGTACCAGAATTTGGCTCTAAATGCATCATGTGTTAATTGGGGGGGTAGTTTTTTTTTTTTTGCACTGATGTGAATCGTGTCCACGAAGACAGAAATAGAAACTTGTTCATGTTCTGTAAACTAAGTTGGCTTCAAAGAATAAGTGGATTCAGGCAGATGAATTAAATGTGGGAACTAGTCAGACCTGGGAGCGCTAAAAGGCTATGTGAGGAAATAAACATAAGGTACAAATAAGAAATCTAAACACTAACGTTTGCAAGGCGCTCCTGGTGTCTGGAAATAAACTGGATTTGTTCTGGGCTGTCTCCAGGATCCTCCTTGAGACGTGGTCATCTTCAGTAGTAGCTGAGGTCTTTCTAGTCCAAAATGCTTCTGCTCTTTAAGAGAAACCAGAAATGGTATAGGATATAGAAAAAGCAGACAACCATACAGGAGTTGTTGACAGAACTCAGGAAGCACTGCCAGTCAGTCAAGGCAAACATGGCATTTCTCTTGAGGTAGGTGAGCTGGTCACTTTCCTGGCCAAGGTTAAGATTGTCTCTTGGTCCCTGAGTAAAGGAGCCAGCAAAACATTCTGGATAGTGCAGAGTCCCATACATTCACAGCCTCCCGTTCCCTTTTACTGCAGAAGCTAATGGTGATTAAGTATTTAAAACATTTGAATTTTGATATGAAATAGACCAGGTTGCGTGGTCCCTTGGGTGCTCTGCCACAGAAGTAACTCCTGTTTCTCATGCTTTTCATCGTATAAAGATTTAACCAATCTTTCCAGGCTTACAGCCTTCTAGTTCTGAAGCCCTTCATTACATTTACCTGGGTGTTACATAATGTCACAAAATCTTTTGAAATCTTACAAAGGCTCTTAATTGTATTATGCATTGTGTCAATTGTCTCTGTCACAGGAGTCTAGCTAGGGTTACGTCCAAGGAAGTAACATCCTCAGTGTTGGGTAGAGTTGCCATCTGGTGTGCCCCTCTGAGGTTCTGTGAGAGCTGACTTTTTTCCAGGGTCAGTGAAAACCAGCTACAGCTCAGTCATCTGGGAAAACCACTAACCAGATAGCAGTGTTTAGCTTAGTACACCTTTATGGAGGAGGGCTTTTTGCTGGTGGTATGGAGCTTATTGGAAATACAGCATGCCTTTTGTGGTGCTCCAGAGCACTCTCCTTCTTTTTCTTTATCTATTTCAAGCAAAAATGTTTCAGCCTCCCTAATACAATCACTCTCTCTCCTGAAGTTAAAGAACATCAAAATATTATTAAAGACAGCAAAAATCTGTGCCTAAGTGTTATTTACAACAGGTCTGGAAAACGTGTAGGGTGCTGGAGCAGTGAGTTGCTTTGTCATCTGAAAAAAAAATTGGCTAATGGGTACTATAGACAACATTATTTCAGTCCTGGCACCCTCTGAAACTGAAGACACTCAGCACCTTGTAAGATAAGATAGTAAATGAGCAACTGGTTCTCATAAATCATGTGTGTAATTTTTGGTTTAGGAGTTTAGTGAGACTGTCATTAATTATATTCTGAGCTAATGCTGAAGTGTTGCTATTGAATAGGTTTTCAATGGATAGGATGCATAGACTCCTTTAACTCTGGTCTTAAGCCTCTTAGTGCAAGTGTTCTTATGGTATAACACATTGTTGTAAAAATATCCTATCTGCCCTTCACTACCTTTCACATCCCCCTCTCCACACCATCCAAACCCTTTTGCTAACTCCCATCTTCAGTGGCCATTCTGTCTCTTCACTGGTCCTATCTTTTTTCAAGCTTCTCATTTTCTTCTGTAGGGTTCTGTAAAATCACACCCCCATCCTTTGTGTCTCTGCTTTCATGTTCTTTCTGCTACATGCTTTCTCTTGCTCGGATTACTTTTCTTCCAGATCCTTCCTTACCTGCCCCTATAAGTACTCTCTTTTCACTTTCTGTCACTAATTGCCATGCACACTCTGTCTCCTGGACTGTGGTTTTGGGTTGGTTTGTTTGTTTTCTGTTTGCTTTATCTGTTTTAGATTGTGTGTTCTCAGAACTGAGGAGAGACAGCTATATTAGTATCTTTGTAAAAATTATTTGTAAATGATTTCAAAATGTTTATATATCCCTACATGTTTGTTTTTTAGGGTGACCACTTAGATGACTTAAAACAAACCGATGGCTATCTTGAAGAGCTCCATAAGCAAGATGTGTGTCAATCTAGCATTGTAAGGTTACCCGTTGTAAATACAAACACAGCAGAGTTAGGAAAGCCTGCCAGGCCATGTGAAGAAATTTTGGATGTTTTCAAGAAATGAAATGGCTTGGTCTCATAGCTCATCCATTTCTACTATCACAAAGTTTAGGACCACATTGAAAAATTAATGTTAGCATAAATATGAATGTAAACTGTTAGAACAGAAAATTATCCTGGTTGGATTTTAATGCAATTTTGCTTGTGCTTTTGAAAAATTGAACCAGTCAGCTTCTCCTTTGAATCTTTGAGCATTATACTCTTGAGAAGTTGTTTTAATTTACCTTTAAGCTCTAATGTTCGTTTATTTGATGTTTTAACTGCATAGATACACACAGACCTGTGTATCTTACATTAGCACTTGGTTATAATAGATATTATTGAAGATTTATGTTTAGTCAATGAAGATAAAAGATTTGAAACGTTATTTTAGACTGTCTTTTCTAGATGTTTCCTATTATTGTATATTACAAATACAGTTTTTCTAGAACGTTTGCAAACCTTTGGCTAATTTATTTGCATTTATGAAGGGACTGTTTCCGGCTGTTTGATATTTAGTCTACTTTTCTCAGGCATTACAGAAAAATGCCTTAGTCCAGATGTCAGTGGGAGCTTGCTTGAATTACAAACTCCATCCTCAATCCAGCAACTGATAGCATATTGGAAGACATCTGCATCCATATAGAGTCTCTTTGAAGGACTGGAGCCCCAGAAAATACATCACCATTTGATCCACTGGAGTTATTTGAAAAATGTTTTTAACAATAGTTAATTTGTAATATACCTTTGTTTTTGAAGTCCTCTCTGGTTGTCTTACACAAACCATACTAGTACAGATCTTCACCATTTGCCTACTGAGATATTCTTGGACTTCTGGTTTTTACTTGGTTCTACCGTTCTAGGACTTTAACTATCTAATAATGGAACTCAAATGAAAAGCTCAGGATGTTGAATAACCCAAGCACAGACTTCACAAAGTGAAATAATAATAGTGTTTCTTACCTTAACACTCAGCATTAATGTTGGCAAATGTAGTACCAAGAAAGAATTTGCTGGTCTACACTGGCACTTCCTTGTTCTTCCGAAGAATTAACTACAATTACTCCAGTGTGCTTTAAATTGTTCAACCGCCAAGTTAATTCTAATATACTAAGAAATTATCTGTAAATTCTTACCCTAAACTGTTGATTTAAGCATGTCTTTCACAAACCAAGCAGCCTCCCAGCTTATGCTCAGAGAATCAGTAATCGCTCTCATCAGCATATTTAGAATTATAAACAGATCCACACTTCATATTTCTAACTTTGCATACAAGAGTGATACACGCAAAAAATAGGATATACATATTTAGCAGATTATTAAATTGATATGTTACTTTGTTGGGTTAAGTATATTCATATTGATAAGCCAAATTTCATAAAGCTTCAGGGGCCATGACACTGGGTACTAGACTAGGTCGACCATTGGTCTGACCCAGCATGGCCACTCTTATATTCTTACAGGCAAAAAGATGGCATGAGCTGACAGTAAACAGTAAGTGAACCAGCTTACATAATTTCCTCACATGCAAAGCCCTTACGTATGCAACAGAACAGCTGGGCCCCAGAGTTTACTGAGAAACTACACCTGACATCTCTATTCCTATGAAGTACTGAAACAAGTGTTGTGCAACTTTTTCAAAATGCCTAAATCTTATCTCCTTCACATCATTTTTACACTGGTTTAACTCTATAAACCTGGGTGTGAAAATCAAAACCTAGCCAGCCTCTTCTCATTATACAGAATGTCCTAGCACCATGAGAACTGAGTAGGAAGAAAGAATGTGTTTGACTGATAAAACCCTTCTGCATTTAAATGTGGACTAAAGGTAATCTCAGTAGGATGCTATATTTACTTAACCTATATCTGTGGAGATCTGTAAGAGGTTTACAGTAGCTCTTAGATGCTGATTTAGTGTCTAAGTGATAGTTGTCGGCAAACCATTAGATCTAAGCAGCATAAGCATTTGGATGACTAAATACTGAAAAAGAGTACTTGGAATGTTTGACACTATGGGTGCCAATGGATCATCAGATGATATTGACGCCATGGAAATTCATCACTGGTATACAAAATTTATGAAGGAGTGCCCATCTGGACAGCTTTGTCTGCATGAATTTAAACATGTTCTGGGTCTGCAAGGTCTTACTTTAGAGGCAAACAAGTATGTTGAACAAGTATTTCACACCTTTGACATGAATAAGGTAAGAATTCATGGCTTTGTTGAAGCTGTGTAACTTGATTCACAGAATGGTATGTCTCAATGCTCTGGTCACACCGGTTATCTAGACCTATGATTTGGATATAATGAGAAACTCCATGTGAATATATTTAAAATTGCCAGAAGCTAGTGTTGCACTAGCCTTTGTAGTTGGCCTTTTGTAAAGTATCTTTGTACAATATTCTTAGGGTATGGCTAGACTTCAAGGATCTATCGGAAAAAGATATGCAATATGAGAAGTGCATTTTGCGTATCTTTTTCCGATAGATCTTTACAGTCTAGCTGCTCCGCATTTTGCATATCTTTTTCCGATACTTTTGTCAGAAGAGGCTTTTTGAAATTTGGCCCATCTAGACTGGGACAAATTTTGGAAAAAACCCTCTTTCAAAAGCCCCCTCTTCCTTGTAGAACGAGGAATACAGGGGCTTCCGAAATAGCGCATTTGCTCTTCCACAAAAAAAATAGGACGAGCAAACAACCCCCTGCAGTCTAGCCCTACCCATAGTATGTTCTGTATCAAATCTAATCACCAAAGCCTGAATTTCAAAGACTTTTTTTTTTAGAGTGTGTTAGACAGTGGAGTTTTTTTCCTATGAATCTACTTGAAAAAGAGTAATTGTTTGACTGAGTCCATGTAAAGCCATGCTTGCAAAGAACTGTTAAATATACTGTTCACCGAATGAAACATTTCTTCATAATGCTAAGTGTGCTGTAAATTATAGTTGGAAATGAAGTGTCCTTCTCCAGAAATGGCTCCTACCCCAAAGGACTTTTATTCAACGCCTCAGTTTTCAATGTTGCACAGTGCGGTTTCATAGCAGCAGCTGTTACCTGCATCACTGCCTAGTACTCTGGTCATGTCTGTGCTTCATACAGAGTTCCTCAGATCACAGGAGTCACATCCAAATGAGCTCACCTTCCTAATTCTCCTCTTGGGTCTAGGAAGCACCTTGAAATATGAAATAATCCGACTCCCACTGAAGCCATTAGAACTTTAGCCATGGACTGAAGTGAGAACAGCCTTGGACTCCAAACTAGCAGGCTCACATCAGTAATTCCAAGGCTCACATGAGTAATTCCAAAATTCAGTGGATTTATCCTTGCTCACAAACCCATGGAAACAGTATTCTGACATTTCTTTCCTGTTCCAATGAACCCAGTGAGATTGGAGTGACTGCCTTAGTAGGAAAGCAAAATGCATTCATGACTCATAGCAGGGATTAAATTTGGTGATCCGAGGTGCAGACAAGGACCATTAATCCCAGCTTGTTTTAATCTTTAGACAATCCCTTTCTCTAAAGAGTTTAATTACGATCATAAGTTAAATTAGTATAAGAACATTTTCAAAATAATGGAGATTTGGGGCATTTGTGCATGCAATGGCTGCGATGTTACATTGTACCTAATGGCCCAGGAATTTCTACAGAGCTAATGTGCATTTTTAGCTAGTCATGTGATAAAATTGTATATTGGTAACTTTCATATTAATTTGCTCTAACAGGTTTTTTTTAATATTGAGAAATTATTGTACACGTAAGTGCTTTAATTTATGTTTATGTATTCTGAGTACTGCTGGTTGCTGTAATACAAGATTCTGCAGTGTACGATAGAATATTTTGCTCTGTAGTATTGACACTTGCTATTTATATTAACTTCATTTATCATTGGAGATCTCTAGACCACCACATGGGGGACTAACTACAATTTGGTTAATCAAAATAACTAATTCAATCAGTGTAGCAGTGTGGCTGGCCACCTAGCAAGCTCTGAATCCATTAAAATGAAATCTGATTTGCAGGGAAGATATCATTTTTCTCTCTCAAATACTTACAAATAATTTTTTAATGCTTAACAATATAACATTAACAACATTTTAGTGACTTTCTTTAGCTGCTACAGAATTTCTTTGGCCATTTGTTAGTCTCCTACAAGAGCTTCTTTCAACTCCCCTACAAGTAATCTATGGTCCACAATGGCAGATCGTAGAATACTAGAACTAGAAGGGACCTCGAGAGTTCATCAGGTCCAGTCCCCTACTTTCACAGCAGAACCAAGCATTTAGATAGCTAAATGCTGTTACATTTAATTCAGCATTTTGATTTTATGCCAATATTTTTACACGGGTCTAGTGTTTTGTTGGTGCCCCAACAAATCAGGGTCTCATAAAGTGTCTCAGTTCAGGTTTCCAGGAATATAAATGGGATCTGAACACTTGCTGGGAATCAGATTTTTAAGGTGTCAAATGGAGCACCCACAAATAGAAGCACCTAGAATTGCAAATCACTTCCCAAAATATTGGTATAGATATTTGAAAATGTTTACTCTTTTAATACCAGCTTATACATTATAATATCTGCAAAATAATTTTCTGATATCTAACACACTGACTTCTCTGATTTCTGTTGGGATTTATCCTTTATTTTTATCAGATTGTAGACAGATAATTAAAAAATGTCTGTATGAGGGGGAAGAATTAAACTATGGATCAGCATGACTGACATTCCTACTTTTGGCAGCCAATTAAAATGGTGACTGAATGCTAAGTTTTGGAAATATCCATTCTCAATAAATTAATGAAGTTTTAAAATATTTGTACAAAGAAATGAATGTTTATTAAGATGATGTCAATAACTAGAAAAGGAAAACTATTATCAAAATAGTGCATGACTATATATTTCTGAATGAAATTCTAAATTTGAGAGTAGAAAATGCTTCTCGTGTAATCTGGTTTGGAAACCTTCCTAATTTCAGGGAAGTTTGACAACTTGTTTGTTTTAAGAGGTCATAAAATCCAACATAAAACTACGGGTCCCACACTTTTAACTTCATGTTTAATTATGGGTTTTGACCTGTTGCTTCTTTCCCATTCTGCAAGATACAGAGATATTGTATAATGTCATCTGTTGATTTATGTAATCTAAAAGAGTCTTTCTCCTAGTAGGGTTGTCACAGCAATAGATACAGGAAAAGCTATTGGAAGGACTAGAAACTGCACCTATATATTTTTTTTAGAATTAGTGGTATGCTTAAGACTTTATATTCTATACCTTTTACAGCCAATAACATTAAATAGGGTGGCTTCTATGATAAGAAAAAAGACTTTTGGTGTCTTTCCCTTTGTTTGCTCTTTTCATGTATCTTTTGGCTTAAAAAAATGGAACATCAAATGAATGAACTTGTGTGTTTTACTCAAAGCAGAATGAAATAAGGGCATTCCACAGTTGTAATCTACCTCTTTCATTATATATATATATATA